TCACAGTCTTTTCTTGCATGTAAAGTGGATGCCATTAAAATCACACATCCTTCCCCTCATCTTCTCCCCAGCTAAAATAGGACATAAGATCTCCATTCTTTTTTATTGCCTGTGGCTCTGTCTATACCTAGTGCCTGAGGCTATGGGGTAGGAAGAGATGCACAGTCCTTTGGAGAGTTGTTTCATTTGCTCTTCCTACCACCTCAGTCTGTGCCCTAGCATCTCCTGGCCCCGCGGAGGGTTTCAGGCTTGGTGTGGGTTGTGACCTGGCACAAGGGCGGAGCAGGCAGAGATCTGGCGAAGGGGAAAGGTAGGAAAGATTGAAGGACCTTTTGCAAGTGCTAAATGCCATGTGGTCTCGTTGCCTGATTAGCCTAGTCTGGCTCCATCCTGTCCTTAAGGGGTCTGACCCTCAGCAGGTTGTGGTGGAGCTGCTCGAATGTTAGGAGGTACAAGTGGGGTGAAGTGAGGAGCTAAAGCAGGTGAATTATGTGAAACCAGTGGCTGGTTACGTTAGCCAAGAGTTGAGAGCTGTGCTACCTTGTGTGTGACTCTGTGGGCTTTGCTAGAGCAAAATCTGACGAAGTCTTTCAGGGCATAAACCCTTATCTGCTGGCTCCCTGCTCACAAGGCAAGGGCTGCCTGCCTTCCCTTCTGGCTCGCTCTGCTTGGCTAGTCCTTCAGCCCCGCCGTGGCACCGGCGCTGTCTTTGAGCCTGTTCGTTTCCAGCCATTAGCCGTGATCCTTCTCAACTCTGTGGTGTTTCTCTCTGTGCTTCCACATGTGACTTACAAGATTTTCTGTAACTCGTGATGGCAAAGGAGGCATTGGGACATCTGTTGTGTGCAGGGCCCATGCAGTAGGGTGTAGGGAAGGTGTATCCTCGCGTGCTTGTTGGTTTGAGGTCTCTCCTTCCCTTCTGTCCTTTCTGGTTGCCTGCTTAGGAAAGCCCAGCCCTAACAGCACATGTCAGTGTGGCAAGGCAAGCGCGCAGGTGTCAATGCCTGAAGTGTTGTGGTGGTTCATGAATGGAGAGCTACAAGGGAAGACGTGGAATGAGAGCACCTTCCCTTCTGAACTAGTGCTAGAGCCCTAGGAGATGCTGCAACAGGTACATTGCTTGTCCATGCCGCAGGAGACGTGTCATTGCCCTCACGTCTGGCGTGGATTTCTCAGCTGCAGCTGACCTGAAGACTGGCAGGTCCAGTTGGGTGAGGGAGCTGAGTCACCCAACGCAGATGAAGGGACAAATGGCAAAACTCCCAGACATGGCCGGTGCTTCCGTACAAAAAGCAACATCAACAGAGTGTGAAGTTTGGATGGGGAAGCAGGCCAGAGCCAGTTAATGCTAGAAGGGAGGTTGCGTGTCTAGCTTTGGCTCTGTTGTCTTGGGCTTGCAATGCTATTATACACATATAGACATTTTCCAGTAATGATAGTTTATGTTCCTGTGTGCAGCTTGGAGGATGAATTGGCTGCAACTCATGAAATGTGCTCAGCTCAACTTACGTCAGGCAAGACTTGAGGAGGGCCAAGAGAGATAGGGAGAAGGTGCATCTTGATGGTGGAAAACTGAATTGCACACAGCAAAATTCTGATGCTGTCAAAATGTTGGTGCATTTGGCTGTTGAATTGGTGGAATTTGTACCCTGTGACTCTAGAGTAACTTTTAGCCTGCTGTCTATGAAAGTTTGCAGGTAGCTAATGCAAAGCTGAACTCTGTCCTTCCTCTTGTATAGCAACACCACTGGGCATGGGCAGGAGTCCCCCCCGGGGGCTTGGGAAGCAGCCTGGGTGCCAAGGACACGGGCATCCCTTGTCCCAGGGACCTGCTGACTGCCCCATGCTACAGCACTGCAGGGTGGTGAAAACAGACTGAGAGCAGAGAAGGAAAGTGATAAAGGGATAGAGAGAGGATGGAGAGGAGAGGAAAGAAGAGGAGAT